CTGTCAGACTTGCCCTTTCCTAAGGCAGTCACCATCAAGCTTTTTTTGGGTATGTACTTTCCAGAAATTCTCCATACCTAAGGATTTTCTAACCTGACCAAGATGGCAAAAGAAATGAAAATGATGTGCTCAGCTTATCCTTCCTTATTGATGTCAACATGTATTAGGAATTGCAGCGTAAACAAGGCAGATGTGTTAGTTAGCCTTTACCAATTTCCTTGCTAAGATGGGATCCAGTATTCACAGCACTCCACTTATCTGTGACCTATTCGGGTTGCACATTCTGAGGGGAGATCAGGCCTACTTGGCTGGTGCTTGAATGTATTGCAGACAGACGTGCCTCCGCATTAAAATCAAGTCAAGGTGTCAAATAATGATCTTTTTATGTATAAATCCTGTATTCGTAATAACTGCTTTCAGGAATCTGTCTGAAAATTTTCCAGGTGAGGAAGGACAAGCCAAAAGATGTTTGACAATGTTTCTATTAATAATCTGCCATTGGGATTCTGAGGAAAAAAGTTACCATTTAGGATTCTTAATATAGAAACTCATTTTAATTCTGTCCTTACATGCAATTTATAAAAAATCAACTGTTGAATAACACTCAAGGCTTATGTAGGTGAACAGAAAATACCCACACTTGTAAGTTGTAGTCTAAGAAATATCTATAGCTTCATTTCTCATTGCCTGTGATATAGGACACAGAAAAATAATGGATTATGGAAATAATCCATTGATGATTCCTTCAGTCTCACATTTCCATCTGTTTAACTGTCATATCTAATCAGATATCTTGCTGTTTTCACACACATTATCAACTTGCCTAAAGACAAATGCCATCCTCCCCCCACCTGCCTTTCCTGCTCCTCTTAGCTCTGTGCTGTTAATGGCTCTCTTAGCTACGCAGTGTTGAGACTTGGAATCAAGCCCCACAGATTCTGAGAATCACAGAGCCGGAACCCACCTTAGTGATCACCACTCATTTGCAGATGAAGTCCCTGGCAGGGGAGGAATGAACAATGATTGATACCCAGCTCTTCTGTGGACATGCTGGAGCTGGAACGCCCATCTGCAGACTGAAGTCCCAGTGACTTTTTCTAACACACTCCTTGACCCCCCTGAGGCTTCTCCCCATAAGCTGCCCTTTGTTTTCTCTCTCTGTCACTTCAACTCGGCCTCACCCCCTTCCATCTGACTGTGGCAGTGGTCTCCGGCAGGCCCCTCAAATCCCTCTTCTTGGCCTTCATGGTCGTCTATTAAAAATATGTGTTTGTGACCAGGTGCGGTGGCTCACGTCTGTAATCCCAGCAATTTGGGAAGCTGAGACAGGTGGATCACTTGAGGTCAAGAGATTGAGACCGGCCTGGACAACATGATGAAACCCCGTCTCAACTGAAAATACTAAAGTTAGTGGGTGTGGTGGTACACGCCTGTAGTCTCAGCCACTCTGGAGGCTGAGGCAGGAGACTTGCTTGAACTCAGGAGGTGGAGGTTGCAGTGAGCCGAGATCTCGCCACTGCACTCCAGCCTGGGTGACAGAGTGAGAGTCTCTCTCAAAACAAACAAACAAACAAAAGTTTGCACAGATGCTGTTAGGAAACTAGAGCTGTGGTCCTGAACTCCCTGTGTGAAGTGAGCAAGATTTTGGTATTTCAGTTGACTGGACTGTAAAATAATGGTTCTTTACAGGGGTAATACTACCATCTAGGGGTGGGTGGAAATGCTGGGGGGCTGTTCTGTTTTGTTTTGCCATAATTACCAGGGAAATGGGAGCAATCCTGACATTTAATGAATGGGGTCAGGAAAAAAAGGGCCTGCAATAAAATGGGATGATTCCACACATCAGAGAATTGTCCTTTCCCAAATGCCAAGAGTCTTTCCCCATCTCTCAAAATGTGTTTTGGAGATGATTTCACCCTGAAACAATGGGTGCCACCGTTACTTTCCTCAGATTCATTCAGTGGTCCATTCAAAAGTTCCAACTCCTTCACGCAGCACCAAAGTTTTCTGAAAACCAAGGCACAGCAAGTGGGAACCTGCTGCTTGACGCAGACTGAACCAGTCACTCTCTCTGTGAGCCTTGCTTAATCTGACCTCTGCACCTTTGCTTAGTGCTCTGTAAGGCTGCCCTTCCCTATCCTTTGTACCTAGCTAGATTCTACCAGTTTTCAAGTTCTAGTAAGGTACTTTATTTTATTATTTGTTTTGTTTTGTTGAGATAGACTCTTGCACTGCTGCCTACGCTAGAGTGCAGTGGTGTGAACACATTTCACTTCAGCCCTACCTTTCAGGTTCTAACCATCCTCCCACTTCAGCCTCCTGAGTACTGGGACAACAGGTACACACCACCACACCCAACTAATTTTCAGATTTTTTGTAGAGAAAGGGGCTCACCATGATGCCCAGGCTGGTCTCAAACTCCTAGGCTCAAGCGATCCTCCCATCTCAGCTTCCCAAAGTGTTTGCCTTACAGGCATGAGTCACTGTGCCAGGCCAGGTATCTTATTTTAAAAGATAGTTTTCCTTGGTTTCTTTTGAACTTCTGTGGCACTTATCCTAACATCTCTCTTGCCACTCAACTGTATTCTGATTTCTCTTGTCACTTAACTCTGTATGTATTTTTGGCCTGGCTTCAAAAATGGAATACAAACTTCTCCAATTTACATTCAAGTAGGGATTGGCAGGGATTGTCTCATACTTTGCATTCCATGGTGTTCATAGCAAGCCATGCATGGAATCAATGTTTGCTGAGCAAAATCACATCACAGCAGATGCAGCGAACATTTCCCACCACCCACTCCCCTCTATTTTGATACCAGAGTCCCTCTAACTCCTTGTCCCTAGGCTGAGGGCTCTTGCAGTGGGAGGAACCATATATTTATTTTCTTAGAGGCTGAGTCTTTGTTTTCTCTGGTGCGCTGCCTGTGGATCTGATACCCTCTGCCTCTCAGCTTCTCTCTGTTGTTTTTCTTGGTATCCCCTTGTGTCAGTCCAAAGTTACGAGAAGAGAGAGGATGGGCAGAGGGATGGGTGAGGTTTGGAAATGTGATGAACAGTCAGGGTGGACGCATTAGGAAGCAGACAGATGGCTGGTGCACAGCAGCACCCTTTCATTGTATGTGTTAGAGTCTTCCAGTTAGTTCTCAACTGATGCAGATGGCACTTTGCCATACCTGTTATGGCAAATGGTATTAATGATTTAAATAATATTAAATTAACTCTATTTGTGCTATTCCATCACATCAAACACATGTTTTAAAACAGGTGATGCAAGCAGTGTCCATGGTTTCAGTCTTTTTTCAGTTGGAAAGATTTTAAATATTTACACTTCAGATTAATTTCTTGTAATTGTAAGAGATCTGTATCTTTAGGGAATTCCTCTTGTGCAACTCAAGTTTTTATTGACAGTGAATCTGTCTGCAGTACTCAGGTGCTTTTTATCACATGTAGTTAGTTACCCTATGTTGATACTGAAATTGTCTCAATGAGATTAAAGAGCTTGGATGTTTTAAGTAAATTTAAATAGCATATTCAAGTTCATGAAGAATTTTGAATTGATTCCCTATAATCTGAAGACAATACACCTTATACTTTGTGAAGTGTTATAGGAATGCCACCAGGGAAGGGGAGACTATGCATGTTGACCTGGGAAGCAGGGACATTGCTTTCTGCAGTCTGTGAACACGTCCACATCTAGCAAATCCTGACACCCATGTAATGCTCAGGGACGTATAGTACTCCCTCTTTGTCTGGTCACATGGACTTTACGTATATGAAGAAAGAAAGATTTAGCATGCTTTTAGCAGTTTCCTGAAACAGTGATACTTAAGACGACTCCATGAAAAAAAAATTCATTTTATCACACTGGCATTAAGCCACGAGTGCTGTTGGTTGAAAATAGTAATGTCTCTCAGAGTATACAGAGGACTCCTGAAAAAGCAGTAAATAACTGGTCCCCATACATCAACAATAGGCTTTTCCCTTGAGACTTAACGTTTGCTATCTGAAGGAGGTGGCTGCAGGGTGAATGTTACCTTCCCAGTTTCTCCGGAGAGAAACTCCCAGGCTCTCCCTGGAATGACTCACTGTGGAATACACACACACGCACACACACACCCACACACCCCTACATATACAGATATTCCTTTCCTTCCTGCACCACGTTTTTCATTTTTTAACCTTATTATAATCCAATTCTAAAAGCTGTTTTATGGGAAATAGTTCTCAGAGGCCACATCTCTTGAGATCCTAGTGGTTTCTACAAAAACAAGGCACAGATACTTGGGAAATGTCAGTCAGGACATGAAAAGTTTGCTCATGATATCGTCAGGAACTGATCAGGAGGGAAAAAAGAGCTATGTTTTCAGTTTCGGCTTGAGAAAGGAGGACAGGAAGAGTATATGTTATGGAAACTAATTCAGAAAAGCAATGAAGTGATGTTTAGCCGTTCATGGTAGCCAGGAAGGACTACCATCTTCCGGATGAAAGAGAATATAAAACCAAGAAAGAGCACATGGTAGAGTGGGAATAGAGCATTCCTGTGGCCTGCTTAATTTCTCCTAGTTTCTAGTCCATGGATACATTATTGAAGTATTTTCTAGGATGTTATGGAGAGGCAGAAGTTTAGTTAGTCATATACAACACAGCAGTTCCATGTGGTCACACACGACAGGCCTCAGGAGGCATAGCTCCAGTCATAAGTGTCAGGATCTCCTGACATTGCATTTTCAGTTTCCTTTCAACTAGACAGGTTTTTAGTAGTGGTGAGTGTGTGGGACTGTTTTGGCAAGGGAGAAGAGGTGACTGAAGACAGGTCTGGGGTGTGAAGTGGGTATCCCGGTCATGGTCATCATTCTTCCACAGAGCAGGGTGCATATGGCTTAGTTCCCTCCAGCGCAGGCAACCCTAGATCCTGGTCACTAAGAAACTGTTCTGTACCCATGGCAGAGGCAGAGACTGTGACCGGTGAACAGTAGGGGAGTGGGGCATAGGGGCGTTACCTCTCCAGCGCTGTAACTTCGGAGCCTCTGGAGATGCTGTCGATGAGTCAGATGATTGGGAAGACGACCGTTCTGAAGAGGGATTCGGGGATCGATGAAAGTGGTAGCTCGACTGTTGTGGTCCACAAAAAAAGACTGCAGACAGACCAGTGGAAAAAACAACCGTGTGTGAGAATAGGCCAAAATGGAGTCAGTAATACACAGGAGTGCTACAGGGCCCAGGCCTCAGGCTTATTTCTGCCCAGCCTCCCTTATTCCCCTACTTTGTTTTTAAATCTACTCAGAACTCATCTACCTAGTTCAGGCCTGCTAGGAAGCAGGCCGGACAGCAGGAGGTGAGCTGCGACCCAGCTGGCATTACCACCTGAGCTCCACCTCCCTTCAGATCAGCAGCAGCGTTAGATTCTCAGAGGAGCGCAAACCCCACTGTGAACTGCGCATGTGTGGGATCTGGGTTGTGCACTCCTTATGAGAATCTCATGTCTGATGATCTGTCACCGTTTCTCATTACCCCCAGATGGCAGCATCTAGTCAAAGAAAAACCAGCCCAGGGTTCCCACTGATTGTACATTACAGTGAGCTGTAGGATTATTTCACTATATATTACAATGTAATAATAATACAAATAACGTGCACAATCAATGTAACGTGCTTGAGTCATCCTAAAACTATCCCTTACCCCCTCCCATCTGTGGAAAAATTGTCTCCCACAAAACTGGTCCCCGGTGTCAAAAAGGATGGGGACCATTGATCTGGATGGAGGACAGGACACTGCCTGTTTGCTCAGTAGCTGAATGAAGCAGTATCAGTCATAGAGAAACACTCTACACTATTCGTGGAGTTCATAGGTAGTGACTATAATAATTTATTCAACATGGAAAGTAAGAGCAATAGAGCCTTTACTAGGTTAAGATAATACTAGTAATTAATAATTTGTAGGGTATTTTAATTACATTTAAGATAAATGCTGTTTTAAAATTATAGAATGTATATATTTTCACCGAGAAAAAACTTTCAAAAGATAAAAAGGTGGAAAGGGAATAAAAATCAACCCAAATATCAGAGTCTAAAGATAATCGCCAAAATGTTTTGATTTTTTCCTACTCAGTTTTTTTCTTTTCATACATGCAAATATATACATATTTTCTCCACATCAAGATCTATAATTTTGTTATAAGGTTTTTCACTTATTATTTTGTATTTCCCTGTTATTAAATATTTTTAGTAGATAATTTTAATGACTATATAATATTGTTTGATGAAAGTATAACAATTAATTTTAGTACCCTTCATTGTTGGACATTTGACTTTTTTACTGTTTTAAAATAATGCTTCAATGAACACTCTTGAATATAAATCCTTGTGCCATGTCTGATTACTGTATATATTCCAATACATGGTAACATTGTTCTTTAAATTTAGAATTATCTCTCATAAAAGAGAAAGTTACTACCTTTTTTATTCCAACAAAACCCTTTGGAGCCGGGCTTGGTGGCTCAAGCCTGTAATCCCAGCACTTTGGGAGGCCGAGGCGGGTGGATCACGAGGTCAACAGATCGAGACCATCCTGGTCAACATGGTGAAACCCCGTCTCTACTAAAAATACAAAAAATTAGCTGGGCATGGTGGCGCGTGCCTGTAATCCCAGCTACTCAGGAGGCTGAGGCAGGAGAATTGCCTGAACCCAGGAGGCAGAGGTTGCGGTGAGCCGAGATCGCGTCATTGCACTCCAGCCTGGGTAACAAGAGTGAAACTCCGTCTCAAAAAAAAAAAAAAACCCTTTGTATTATAAGACAATTTTAAAATTAGTCTCTTTTCAATGAACAGTAACATTTGGGGAAGTCATAGCAGCTTCAAATGACCTCAATCAATGCTAGTTTTAAATATTTTTAGATTTACCTGACAAAAGTAGTTAAAAAATTTTATACAGATTTAGAAATTATTCTTGGAAGGTTTAAGCTTATAATTTGGAGTATTGGATGTCATTGTAAAGAAGCAGTTTAAAGAGCTTTATAAAAGTTCATACAGGAAGTGGTTTCATTATTGAGATAAAAATATACCCCCCAGGAAAAAGGGAAATAACAACACTCCTAATTTCATGCGAATCACTGTTTGTGACTTGCTGTAAAATTTTCCAAAATAGCATCCCACATACATTGAAAAAAGAGCTGTATGTTCAATTGGAACTGAAGATGACATACCCTTGAAAAATTGGTAGATGACCTCAAAAAATGACAATAGGATCTCAAAAATACATGTAAAGAAATGGAGGCCGGGTGCGGTGGCTCACGCCTGTAATCCCAGCACTTTGGGAGGCCGAGGCGGGTGGATCATGAGGTCAAGAGATCGAGACCATCCTGGTCAACATGGTGAAACCCCGTCTCTACTAAAAATACAAAAAATTAGCTGGGCATGGTGGCATGTGCCTGTAATCCCAGCTACTCGGGAGGCTGAGGCAGGAGAATTGCCTGAACCCAGGAGGCGGAGGTTGCAGTGAGCCGAGATTGCGCCATTGCACTCCAGCCTGGGTAACAAGAGCGAAAAAATAAATAAATACATAAGAAATGGAATAAGACTGAAATGGGAATGGAAAAAAACAAAACACATCAACATGTGTTTTAAACACACATGTGTAAGAGAAACTAATAAATACTAAAAATAGACTTTCATTATTCAAATACATGCTGAGATGTTTATAAATTAAATTAAATAGGTTCCTTATATTTGTGTATCTGTGGCAATTCTTTAGCATACATTTCTAAAAGTTGAATTAATTACTTGGTTAAAAGAAAAATATTTATGATTATTGATCCATACCAATAAACTATCTTCACAACTGTTGTCCAGATTTATCATGTTACCATTAGTTCATGAATCTTTCTCTTTATAATGCTCTCACAAATACTAATTTTGAAAGAACTTTTAGAAGTGTTAAATGGTAAATAATGGTGAATTACAATTTCCCAGGAAATTTACAAAAGAAAAACAAGTTCTCATAGGCTGATTAGTCCATTCTTTCCTTAGTGTATTGCCTGCAGTGTATCTGTTCCTTTTTTTGTTGTTGTTGAGATGTTAAAGTTTTCTTATTTATTATACATGTACTAAGTTATACATATGCTTTCAAATTTGCTTTTGATTTTTGTTTTATATTCTAATACACTGAGTTTTTAATATTTCCACACATTCAAATCTCTCAGTCATTTCTCTCTAGAGGTCAGTTAAGTGTTTACTATATTTTTCTAGCTCTAGTTTTGGTGAGTTAATTGTTATCACTAAATCTTTTACCTTTCTGAAACATATTTTGGTATGATGTGAAGTTATAGTTTGACATTTTCCTCAGAGAGCCCATTTTTCCAAGTCATTCATTTCCTATTGTTTTATTATAAATAAATTTCTTATAAATACTACTGTCTGTTTCATGATATTTTATTTATTCCAATGGTCTGAGGCTTTTCACTGGGACTGCACTATTCCAATTATTAACGTCTGTAGGGCAAGTTTCCTCTTTCTTTTCTAAGATTTTCTTATGTATTCTTGTCTGTGTTCATTTTTCCAGAGGAACTAATATTAATTTTATTAAGTTCCAAAATGAGTTCTATTGGGATTTTGTCTAGAATCACTTTGAGACTGCAAATTATTTTGGAGATAATTCATTCCTATGATAGTTGGTGTAAACATTTCCCATTTCTGAACATGTATACTAAAGAATTTTTTTCTTAGTACAGTTTTATAGTTGTTTTACTGAAAGATGCATATTTCTGGCTAAGATCATTTACAGGTATTTAATACTGTCCATTGCTATTCTGAATGCATCTTTTCCTATAATATTTTATAACCCTTCATTGCTGGCACTCAGGAAAGTTATTATTTATGTATTTACTTTTTGTCAGCTCATCATATTAAATGGTTCCATATAGTAAACTACTCTTTTAAGTATATCCTCTTTGATTTTTAGTTGCAAATAATGTTAACTTTGTTTCCTTCTTTAGGAGGGCTCTTTTGTTTTTATGGCCTTTCTTGTAATATTGGTGAGTACTTCCAGGACAACATTAAATAAGAAGTAGTAGTTGCAATCTTTTCTTACTCTTGATTTAGAGAAAACTACTAGGCCCAATTGTACAATAAGATGTTCATTGTTTCAAGGTAGGCTTTATTAGGTCATGAAAACATATTTACATTCTTAGTTTACCAAGAGTACTTTTGTTTTTAAAATATAAATGTGTATTCATTACACCTGTAATCTCAGCACTTTGAGGGGGCCAAAGTAGGTGGATCCCTTGAGCTTGGGAGTTTAAGACTAGCCTGGGCAACATGGTGAAAACCTGTCTCTATCAAAAAGAAATACGAAAATATACCAAAAAAGCCAGTCTTAGTGGTGTGCACCTGTGGTCCCAGCTACTTGGGAGACTGAGGTGGAAAGATTGCTGGAGGACAGGAAGTCGAGGCTGCAGTGAGCTGTGATCATGCCACTGCACTACAGCCTGGGTGATACAGTGAGAGCCAGTCTCAATAAATAAATAAATAAATATTTAGTTTTTATCAACTAATTTAAAAACTATTTCTTAAAGTAATCAACTGAAATTCCTTAATGCTACTAAGTCTTTGAGTATATCCTTTCTGTATTTTATTAAGTATTGTTCACATGTATTTTCAACAATTTCTCAATGGTTTCTAAGTCTTTATTTCATTTTAAACCTAAGTGTCATCTAGAACATTGCTTTTACTTTCCAGCTGGCAAAGATTTTGTTTTTAAGACGGTGCTTAAATTTACTTACAATTCAGTTTGATTACTTTATGGCCATAGGATGTGATCTGATTATTTTCTGCTTTTTTGTTTTCTTTGCAGTGTAGAACATAACCACTTACAAAAATAATCATGAAAAGAAGTTCTCAACTTTATTTTTTAGGCCTTTTTTCTATTTTGTTGTTGTGGCAAAACATACATAAAATGCTAACCATTTTTAAGCGTACAGTTCAGTGGCATTAAATATAAGAAATTCTCAGCCGGCGCGGTGGCTCAAGCCTGTAATCCCAGCACTTTGGGAGGCTGAGGCGGGTGGATCACGAGGTCAGGAGATCAAGACCATCCAGGTCTACATGGTGAAACCCCGTCTCTACTAAAAATACAAAAAATT